CTCAAGCATCTTTGAAAATAGAGAATTCAAGAGCCTGGAATAGAAAAAATATTTAAATTCCTAGTTGTCAACCAATTTCTTATCAATTTCTATTGCATGTTTTCTCTCATTTTTCCCGTCTAAATTTGTGTTTATTCTTGGCTCTTGAATTTCTGTTTTCTTCAAATTTTTCTAAAAATAGAGAATTCAAGAGCCTGGAATAGAAACTAAATTTCTAATTGTCAATCAATTTCTTCTCAATTTCCTATTTCAATTTCTATTGAACGTTTTCTCTCATTTTTCGGGTTTTCAGAATTTTTAAAGTCGACAGTGAGATTCAATGGGAAATTTCTAGAAATGTCGCAAAATCATTTTTTCTTGAATTTATATTTTCTTTGTATTGTTCTAAATAAGGAGGATTCAGAAGGCTGGATAGAGAATTTCTTCTCAAATTTTTCTCAATATTTTTATTAAATGTTTTCTCTCATTTTTTCCGTTTAAATTGATGTTTATTCCAGGCTCTTAAATTTCTGTTTCCCTCAAGCATCTTTGAAAATAGAGAATTCAGGAGCCTGGAATAGAAAAAATATTTAAATTCCTAGTTGTCAACCAATTTCTTATCAATTTCTATTGCATGTTTTCTCTCATTTTTCCCGTCTAAATTTGTGTTTATTCTTGGCTCTTGAATTTCTGTTTTCTTCAAATTTTTCTAAAAATAGAGAATTCAAGAGCCTGGAATAGAAACTAAATTTCTAATTGTCAATCAATTTCTTCTCAATTTCCTATTTCAATTTCTATTGAACGTTTTCTCTCATTTTTCGGGTTTTCAGAATTTTTAAAGTCGACAGTGAGATTCAATGGGAAATTTCTAGAAATGTCGCAAAATCATTTTTCTCTTGAATTTCTATTTTCTTTGTATTGTTCTAAATAAGGAGGATTCAGAAGGCTGGATAGAGAATTTCTTCTCAATATTTTTATTAAATGTTTTCTCTCATTTTTTCCGTTTAAATTGATGTTTATTCCAGGCTCTTAAATTTCTGTTTCCCTCAAGCATCTTTGAAAATAGAGAATTCAAGAGCCTGGAATAGAAAAAATATTTAAATTCCTAGTTGTCAACCAATTTCTTCTCAATTTCTAGTGAAAGTTTTCTTTTATTTTTCCTGTTTAAATTTGTGTTTATTCTTGGCTCTTGAATTTCTGTTTTCTTCAAATTTTTCTAAAAATAGAGAATTCAAGAGCCTGGGATAGAGACTAAATTCTTAATTGTCAATCAATTTCTTCTCAATTTCCTATTTCAATTTCTATTGAACGTTTTCTCTCATTTTTCGGGTTTTCAGAATTTTTAAAGTCGACAGTGAGATTCAATGGGAAATTTCTAGAAATGTCGCAAAATCATTTTTCACTTGTATTTCTATTTTCTTTGTATTGTTCTAAATAAGGAGGATTCAGAAGGCTGGATAGAGAATTTCTTCTCAAATTTTTCTCAATATTTTTATTTAATGTTTTCTCTCATTTTTTCCGTTTAAATTGATGTTTATTCCAGGCTCTTAAATTTCTGATTCCCTCAAGCATCTTTGAAAATAGAGAATTCAAGAGCCTGGAATAGAAAAAATATTTAAATTCCTAGTTGTCAACCAATTTCTTATCAATTTCTATTGCATGTTTTCTCTCATTTTTCCCGTCTAAATTTGTGTTTATTCTTGGCTCTTGAATTTCTGTTTTCTTCAAATTTTTCTAAAAATAGAGAATTCAAGAGCCTGGAATAGAAACTAAATTTCTAATTGTCAATCAATTTCTTCTCAATTTCCTATTTCAATTTCTATTGAACGTTTTCTCTCATTTTTCGGGTTTTCAGAATTTTTAAAGTCGACAGTGAGATTCAATGGGAAATTTCTAGAAATGTCGCAAAATCATTTTTCTCTTGAATTTCTATTTTCTTTGTATTGTTCTAAATAAGGAGGATTCAGAAGGCTGGATAGAGAATTTCTTCTCAATATTTTTATTAAATGTTTTCTCTCATTTTTTCCGTTTAAATTGATGTTTATTCCAGGCTCTTAAATTTCTGTTTCCCTCAAGCATCTTTGAAAATAGAGAATTCAAGAGCCTGGAATAGAAAAAATATTTAAATTCCTAGTTGTCAACCAATTTCTTATCAATTTCTATTGCAGGTTTTCTCTCATTTTTCCCGTCTAAATTTGTGTTTATTCTTGGCTCTTGAATTTCTGTTTTCTTCAAATTTTTCTAAAAATAGAGAATTCAAGAGCCTGGAATAGAAACTAAATTTCTAATTGTCAATCAATTTCTTCTCAATTTCCTATTTCAATTTCTATTGAACGTTTTCTCTCATTTTTCGAGTTTTCAGAATTTTTAAAGTTGACAGTGAGATTCAATGGGAAATTTCTAGAAATGTGGCAAAATCATTTTTTTCTTGAATTTCTATTTTCTTTGTATTGTTCTAAATAAGGAGGATTCAGAAGGCTGGATAGAGAATTTCTTCTCAAATTTTTCTCAATATTTTTATTAAATGTTTCCTCTCATTTTTTCCGTTTAAATTGATGTTTATTCCAGGCTCTTGAATTTCTGTTTCCCCCAAGCTTCTCTGAAAATAGAGAATTCAAAAGCCTGGAATAGAGAAAATATTTAAAATTTAAATTCCTAGTTGTCTTTGGATTATCATTTGCAAATCTTCAAATCTCAATATCTTGGTAACTAAGAGCGATATTGGGACAATATGATTTCAGATGGTATTTAGCTAAAATCACTAGCGTTTACGGTTTTTGGGAAAATCAAGTTAAAAGTTTTGGACAAAATCTAGATTAAATTTCAACTTTAATCCTCAATATCTTGGAAACTTCGGATACTACAAAACTCAATTTTACACGGCCTTCTAGAGAATTTAATACCCTTTCCACTGATGTATAACTGTAAGCAATTTTCTCAAAAGTCATGGAAGATATGGGCAATTATTCATGACCGTGTCAAGATTTCAAAAAATTTCGAGAGCCAAAAATAAGATTTCCTTTTGAATTTTTTTTTCTCATCGAAAAAGTCAAATGTAACCGATTCTAAAGTTCTTTCTGAATAATTTACACTCGCTCAATCGATTTCTGAAGTCAGTTTTGAACGAAATCTGGAAATTAAAATTTTCAATTTTTTGCACTTTTTTCTTAAAACTGCCCTGGATTTTAATTTCCAAATCTTTAAACCTCAATATCTCAGTAACCAAAATCGGTACTAGGACAAAATTTTCAGGAATTGTAGCCCTTGATGAGGTCTTTCAGATGGTATTTAATTGAAATGGCTAGCGTTTATGGTTTTTGAGAAAATCGAGTTTGAAGTTTTGGACAAAATCTAGATTAAATTTCAACTTTGAGTCTTGATATTTTGGGAGCTTCGGAAGCTACAAAACTTTTATAGAGAATTTAATACTCTTTCCAATGATGTATAATTATAGGCCATTTTCTCAAAATTCATAAAAGATATGGACAATTATTCATGAGCGTGTCAAGATCAGAGATAAAAATGAGGTTTTCTCTTCGATTTTTTTTCTCATAGAAACTGTCAAATGTAACTGATGTTAGAATTGTTTCTAACTGATTTGGACTCGCTCGATCGATTTCTGAAGTCAAATTTGAGAAAAATTCAAAAATAATTTTTTTAAATCTTTTGCTTTTTTTTCCACCCCCTTTGGATTTTAATTACCATATCTTCAAACCTCAATATCTCGATAAACAAAAGCAGTACTGGAACAAAATTTCTGGAGATTGTAGCTCTTGATAAGGGCTTTCAGATGGTATGTAGCTGAAATTGCTAGCGTTTACGGTTTTTTAGAAAATCGAGTTTAAAGTTTTGGACAAAATTTAAACTAAATTTCAACTTTAAATTTCGATATCTGGGAAATTTCAAAAGCTACAAAACTCAATTTTACATGGCCTTATAGAGAATTTAATACTCTTTCAAATGATGTATAATTGAATGCTATTTTCCCAAAAGTCATAGCAGATATGGGCAATTATTCATGAGCGTGTCAAAATTCCCAAAAATGTTCGTCCAAACTGTCAAATGTAACTGATGTTACAGTTGTTTCTGACTAAGACTTGCTCTATCGATTTCTGAAGTTAGAATTAAGAAAAATCCAAAAATAAAAATTTTCAATTTTTTGTAATTTTCTCTAAGGTTTGGATTTTAATTTCCAAATATCCAAATCTCAATATCTCGGTAACCAAAAAACAGTACTGGAATAAAATTTTCAAAGATTGTAGATCTTGATAAAGGCTTTCAGCAGGTACTTAACTGAAATAACTAGCTTTTACAGTTTTTGGGAAACTCGAGTTTGAAGTTGGGGACAAAATCTAGACTAAATTTCAACTTTGAACCTGGATATCTTGAAAACTTCAAAAGCTACAAAACTCAATTTAACACAGCCTTATAGAGAATTTAATACTCTTTCCAATGATGTATAATTGTAAGCAATTTTCTCGAAAGTCATGAGAGATATGGGCAATTATTTATGAGCGTGTCAAGATTTCAAAAAGTTTCCAGAGCCAAAAATGAGATTACGTTTTGGATTTTCTTTTTCTCATCGAAATTGTTAAATGCAACTGATGTTAGAGTTGTTTCTGAATCATTTGGAGTCGTTTATCGAACACGCAAGTTACCTAAAGAACAGGTTAGCTTGATCTCTTTCTAGTTCCCGTCATTAAAAAAAGAAGAAAATTTACAGGGTCTACTTGGATGAGGATCTATATTTTTGTTACTGGTGCCATTTATTAGTGGAGGGAAGAAATAAACAACTTTTAAGGATATAAGATCACTTCAAGGGCAGGGTTGTTTTCCTTGACAAGTGCACAAAGTGATATTTTGCTGCACATAAAAACACGGAGAAACGAAAATGTATATAAGTTAATTTCAAGAAATACCCTTTTATGTAGGCAAAGTAGTAGGTGATTGGTAAATGTTTTTGGAAACCTAATCACAAAATTACTTATAATTTTGTTAATATTTCATATACCAATTCTTATGTGTAAACGATAATTTTGAATTAGAATTGAATGCTCTACAAGATAAAGTAGGTTTGAATCTTTAATGTAAACCAGTTTTCAAGATGTTGCTTTTTTTAGCCCTGATTGAGATTTATAAATCAAAGATTAATTAGCTTTTCCTCAATTTCTAAGATTATTGTTTTGCTTCCAGAACTTTGTTATTTTTGGTACAATTTATTTGAATTTTTAGTTTATTTTGCCACAGAGACTCAAAAATATTCTCTCAAAGTCTCATATTTGTACCATGAATAGTTTCTAAATAAATAATCGAAATGTGGAGGCATTTATATTGAAAACTTTCAGGAGAAGATTTTCAGGATTTTTTGATCCTGTAAGATTTTGGTTTGTTCTGCTTTTCTTCGAGAAAACTCTTGGAATCTCAAAACTGAACTCTGCAAACTTGAAGCTTTCTTCGTGCTTTTATAAGAAAACTTATTAAAAATAGTGGATCTTGAATTCTGAGTCATTATTTCTTGATTCTTTTCTGAAAGGACTCAAGACTCAAGATTCATAATTCTGAAAACTTTCAAGAGAAGATCTTCAGGATCTTTTGATCGAGTATGCTTTCAGATTCTTAGCAACTTCAGGCTGAATAAAGGTTCCCATGGCTGTTATGTATTTGGCGAGAAATTATTATGCTGTAGATATGATAATTTTATTATAATTCTGACCATGATATTATATGACAATGGAGAATTTGATTCAATTTTATTTATTGCTGATTTCTTTAGTCAATGAAAAATAAGTCTATATTTTCTTGTTCTTGTTAGTCAAAAATTGACGGAGATACAACGATTTGAAATTTGCTTATGTTTCATCCTCTATGACATCATACGTATGTCTTCTATATACAAAACTTAATATTTGTATAACTTTCAAAATAATCATATTTGGACAAAATTAAAAAACACGGTTTGCAATAAACAATAATCAATTTAATGTTTCATCATGCAAGTAAAAACCCAATCAATTGCACTTGATTTCAATGGAAGACCTTAACAACAATATTTTCTTTCTTAGACTAAAAAAAAAAAAAAATAAAAAAAAGTTACCCTGAGGGGAAAATTTCCTCTTGTGGTCATTATCAAACAAAAACGATTATTTACACAATAATAATAATATTTATAACTAATTTTCCCCTACAAAGTAACAATTCATTTCACTATTTTATTAATAAAATTAATTAAAAATAACCTGACATATTTTTTTCTTTTGCTACTACAATTTCGAATTTCTATTACCTTGATTGGTCGATATCGAGTTCGCGTCTGTGCCTCAGCCACTCGTCTTGGTTGTTATTGAAAATCTTCCGAGGCGAAGCGTTTTCCTTTCTTTTGGTTCTCAACAAGCGCGGCTTAAAAGGCACGTGCCTTTGAGGCTCCTCTTCCGAGGAAGAGTTTTCCGGTTGATGGTGACTGTAGCGGACCAGTTTTGGTGTCGGTTCGTTTTCCTCATTGGGAATTGATCTACAAAAAAATGTTGATTTTGAAATACAAAAAGGAACAAAAAATTACAAAAAAAAAATACCTTTTCAAATTCAAAGTAGCAACTCCGGCCAAGTTTAGAAGAGTTTGGGCGCCTTCTTCTTTGATTCTTCGTTCTTCCGCATCTTCGAATTGGATTTTACGTCTTGCCAGCTTTATTCTACTTCTGAAACAACAGAGAAAGGATTATTTTGGTAAGTTTTAACTTACTTAAGCAGTTAGGATGTTGAAACGTTTTTGTAATTTTTCTTTGTTATAATTACTTAATTAGAAAAAAATATATATATTTTTGTTGTTTTTATTTCATAATTTCCAGTATATACTTCATAATTTTATCAATTCCAGTTGAGAAAATGGCACATTACGTCACTAGCCTGGTTATGTAACACTGATGTTTGCCAAAACGTTCAATGACATCCACATAAAGTGAGCGGTGGCGTTGTTCAGGGTTCGGTTGTTGGCCCAGTGCTTTTCACAGCATACCTTATTCATTTAATTGAATGCATAAAATTGACCACAAAACTGTTTGCAGATAATTGCAATACATATGCAAATCCTCTAACCAGCGTAGTGTTAAAGTTATTTATAGACAGCATTCCTGCAGAATGCAGAATGTCTATAAAATATCAAAGAATGTAATGTTGACAGTGACAGTTAAGTTTGTACGCTAAAAACCCTTCAAAGAAGCTTGTTTAAAATAAAGGTTTTCGAGAATAATTGCTAGTGATTTAATTCTTGCAACAGGCAGAATACGGGAGGTTATGGGCCTAGCACACTTCCAGGGTAGGAAATTGAATAGAGAGTCAAGTCAAAAGTTGAAAATAGCAGATGAGCGGGAAAAAAAATGAACAATTACAATAGTTTTGTTCCAACACAGCAGGAAACCGTACAATGTACCGTAACGATTCTACGCAAAGCCTGAAATTTGTGCGTAAAATCCGAAATTCGGCTACAGAGTAGTTTACAAACCGTTCATGAAATGGTTTCCGACGTGTTGACGTGTTTAGAATGCAAGTATCAATAGAGGAAAAAAAAGTGGCAAAATGGATTAAATATGAATTTGATGATAGTAGATACAAAGATGATAGAGAGAAAGAAACAAGACAAGCAATATTAGTCTATAGTGTTTCAGTGTTTGGATGATGGTCAACTGGATATAATTTGAGATAAAAATAATGCTTGCCAGATATGAACAACTTTGAAAGATCGGTATGAGAAGAAAGTGCTTCGGACAAATATTTTCAAAACGAAAGTTATTATAACTGACATTGAAAGAGGATTATGAGACTTTATCTGCAATTATTGAAAATACAACTAATGTTAAATATGAAAATACTTTTAACAAAATGTGAAAAGAGCATGTTATTTTATAGGAATGGATTGATAACAGCCTTTGTGACATAAAAATATATTGACGAGAAATGTTATGGATGTGTCTCAACCAATCACATAATGCGTTTTTGTCCACAAAATAATTGGCAACAGTAGATTAGGCAGTATTTACAATGCACCGAGAAGCAATGATTACAGTAGAGGTTAGATGTTATCAAAATAAAGGTTACAATGCAAGAGGAAGTTTTAATACAAGAGGCTCTGCAAAAGGTTTCAGTTCAAAAGGGGATTATACAGCAGCAGGACAAAAGAAGATGGATTTCAAAATATTGGCAGTAACTTGGCAGAAGATGAGAGTTAATACCAAGGATTACAGACACATCAGGTGGAAAAAAACATTTGTTTTCTTGGAGAAAAACAAATAGAAAAAAAACCAAGAAATATGGAAGGATAACAGTTTTTATTGATTCTGGGTGTACTGATCACATGGTCAATCAAAAAGAGGTCTTTTCGAGTTTAGTTTAGTTATGTTGAAAGATCCAATTTCAAATGCTGTTGCCAAGGACAATGTTTTTTTATTGGCCATGGGATTTGGAAACATTACAGTACACAGGGTGTCCCACGGTGGATGGCGTATTAGACGTTTATGGAGAACTAAAAAGCGGATCATTTTGAAAATTTGGCAACCGGGATAAACGATCATAATCTACACTTTAAAAATATTTTTGACCATGCGGTGTTGCCGCTTCTACCCTAAACCAGTGGCAACAGCGCTATTTTAAATGGAACACCCTGTATCTGATTACATATTTGGATTTTACGTAAAATTCTGAGCAGATTTCATGTGATATACCCTATACCTAAGTTCAACTGTTTTGGAATTATTGACAGTTGAAAATCGACTTTTTGCAACTTTGACAGGCTGTAAAACCTGAACGGTTAATTTTAGAGAAAAACCGATTTTACATTCCTATCTTAGATTTTTATAAACTATCATTTGATACCAACTTCAAATTTAATCCATGATTAAAAATTCCAATTAAATTTAATCTCCGGGTAAATTCAAAGTTGGTGTCAAATGATAGTTCATGAAACTGTAAGATAGGAATGTGAAATTGGTTTTTCTCTTAAATTAACCGTTCAGGTTTGACAGCCTGTCAAAGTTGCAAAAAGTCAATTTTCAACTGTCAATAATTCCAAAACAGTTGAACTTAGGTATAGAGTATATCACATTAAATCTGCTCAGAATTTTACGTAGAATCAAAATATTATGTAATCAGATACAGGGTGTTCCATTTAAAATAGCGTTGTTGCCACTGGTTTAGAGTAGAAGCGGCAACACCGCATAAACAAAAATCTTTTTAAAGTGTAGATCATGGCTGTTTACCCCGGTTGCCAAATTTTCAAAATGATCCGCTTTTTAGTTCTCCATAAACGTCTAATACGCCATCCACCGTGGGACACCCTGTATAATGTAGGACTTAAGAAAGTCAATTGTACAGGGTGATAAATGTCACTTCCTGCTAACTTTTTTATTTGACCTTTTTGACAGAAGTGTCAAATACGAAAGTTTTAAAGAAATTGTCATAAGTTTTCAACTAAGTCAGTTTCAGGCACACAGGGTGCGTCAAAAAAGTGGAGCAGTGTGAAGTTATATTTTTTAAAATAGAACAACCTGTATATTGTGCGCTTATTTGTTAGTCCTCTTTAACCTGATTTCAACGATATATGATTTGATAGGTTTATATCTCGGTTTATCTCCAATAGACCTATCTATTTTTACCTGTATGCGCGCGCAACACGAGGCAATGCATTTTTATTGGCTAACTAGTATAGGTGAGAGATATTCGTTTTGCACGCTGGGCATCTCCTTGTCCTTGTTCATTGCCCGTGGTCTGACAAGGATCAAAATTATGGTTGATAAATAACTTGATGTAGCTTGACAAGTGATCGATTTCCAATTGTTTGTGTTTTTGATTAACGAATACGTTGCACGTCACGCAGTTTTCCTCCTTCTCTTTTTATCCCGTATAAATAATAAGAAGTGATTGCTATACATAAGTCTTACATGGTTTGGTACGTTTTGCCTCGTCATGCGCAATAAGCGTTCTGCGTCTTTTTTTATCTTATAAAGTTATCGTATTATTACCTCTTTGTCTGGTAAAATAGATAGGTCTATAGTTATAGGGAAAAACGCGAAAATCCCTTTCTAAGTCTCATGTTATTTTTTGTAAAATAATAATAATAACTTAGACATTTGGACTTATTATAATATTTCACCTTGTATATTAATGAATGAAATTTGAACAATAAATTGTTTATAAAAAAATTCTCTAATGCTTGTAAGATATAATTTTTCTTTTTTTAATATGAAACCTTAAAAAGGGTTTTCATGTTTTTCCCTGTAACAAGCGCACAATATACAGGGTAATCTATTTAAGAAAAAATAACTTCACACTACTGCATTTTTTCAATACACCCTGTATGCTTAAAACTGACTTTGTTAAAAACTTTCGACAATCGACGTGTCTCGTAATACCTGGCGTGCGCGCGCAACTCGTGGGTTGCAGGTGAGCGTCCAATGAAAATCGAGTTTGTTACGGGCTTGCGTCATATTCGTATTCAAGGACGAGTTCAGAATTAATCGTTCCTTCTTTCTTTGTAACGTGTAATTCGACAAATACTTTACGTATTACTTGAACTTATCCCAGTGTCGTTTAAGGTTATGTTAAATTATACTTGACATATTGCCATTGTGCGATATTGCCGGATGAAACATTCATCAAAATAAAACTGCCATCGATGTTAACATACACTTTTTAAGCGCTTCTTTTGTCTGATTTAAGGCGTTGTAAAACACTTGACACTATAGGTATCACTTCTTTAATGTTATAATGTTCGATTTGTATTGTCTACATTTGTTCTGCAACAATATAATCTGGCTACACTGCAGCCACGAGTTGGGCGCGCATGTCATTTTTTATTACTTTCTAACTTGTATTTATTACAATTAAGCTCTTCTTTTCTATTTCTGCGAGACACGACAATTTCTTGAAACTTTTGTATGAAAAAGTTAATGATAATGAGATTGTGAATAGAGCAGAAAATAGAAAATTAGTGAGAATACCACTAAAATATGAGGATTATGCCAATTAAGAGGAAATAAATAACTGTATCAGACTCCAACCAACAAGGCAAAAGGCAAGTAGATCTACAATTTGAAAACTTTCAGAGATGCAGTGGAGAAATATACCGGGTGACAACGAAATCGTTATACAAGGCGTCATTCAGTTGTCTCTAAATTTAAAAATTTGAAAATCGGGTGGAATGGGTAAGTCATTAAGAGTAGGGATGCGCCGAAGCGCCTTTTTTCCGATTCGGCCGAATACCGAATCGGTTTCAATTTTGCAGTGATTCGGCCGAAGCTTCGACCGAATCACAAATATTAAGGGATGTGTTTATAAACAAAAAAAAATACCAATTTTGCTTGAAATACCTATTTAATCCACATGTATTTGAATTTTACCATAATTATATGAAAAAAAATAAATAAAAAAACTAAAGAAATAATCTGCGGAATATTGCACCCAAAAATCAAAACACAGAAAAATGACCTTTTGCTTGAATTTTCCCCTTGAAATTCTTTATATTCTTCTACATGTTTTTTTTTTTTAATGATTGATCATAGATGTTGTGGAGGCATTTTTACCAAGACCACCTCGAGAAATCTCACCTTTACCTTTACATATATTGCACTTTGCATATCTATTATTATTTAATAAATAATACTTCCAAATATAACTCAACTTTTTATTCATTTTCACGTTTAAATAC